CTGTCCCATCGAGTTAACATTGTAACTTATAACAGTTTAGATGGCCATGTTCATGTCAAAACTCATATCAGTATGTTTTCACTGATGTATTAATGAATTAAAGTTTTAAAACCGTAAAAAAATAAAGAAAAATTTAAAACCTTGCAAATACAGGTTTGTCAGCAGGAATAATAAAATACTGTGAGTGGACTTCAGATCAGGTGTGAAGTTTCACATGTGAGGTCTTGAAACGCAAATCTCCAGTGTGCCAGTTGGGTTACATAGTGGTAAAGACCCTCAAAAGAGGACAAGTTTCCCATTTCACTGGCAGAGATATAATTGGCCCTGCGGGGTAACAATTGCTGTGGGTGTCACCTTGCCAGACCACGGAGCCCAGTAATGACCCATGTGCAAACACTGCATTTTTTTTATTCCAAATTCATAGGTATTTAAAGTTCTGAGCCAAAATAAACAGAAGTTAATCTCTTCGTTCTGTATAATCTTTCTGTTAACTTGGCAGATGTCAATTAAGTTTAACTCTCTATCCATTTTATATCTATTCATTTCTGACCCCCCCCCCAAATCCCAGCTGCAAAGGTATATCTCCAAACAGCCCTGCTCTTAATCTACTGAGTAGGTTAATTCCTGAGCTTCAGAGTGGCTAATACACCGAAAGTATCGCAGGTACTAATACACTAGTGTTTTTACCGAAATTATGTTTGTACGGAAGGGCAACAAATACAGAAAATAAACAATAACGTTCTCGACCGCTGCATAAAAACTAGCTCAAAATGTAGTGGCTCAACACATTAAGAACTTATTCTCTCTTCTTTGTTTGTGGGCCAATAATTCAGGAGCAAGTTGGCTGGGAAGTTCCAGCCTCAAGTTCTTTGGTTCCTGCAGCCTCAGTCATCTGGAGGCTTGACTAGGATTGCAAGGTCTGCTTCAAGATGGCTTGCTCACGTGACCGGCAAGTTGATGCTGGCTGTTAGGTCTTATTTCCTCTCCACACGGGGGCCTCTCCGCCCAGCTGCTTGAGGTTCTGCAGAGCATAGGGTCTGGCTTCCCCAGAGCAAGTGATCCAAGAGACCGAGGTAAAGGCTCTTAGTGCGTTTTCTTACTAAGCCTTGCAAGTTACACACACACTGTCACTTTTGCAATGTTCTATTTGTCACCCGGATTCAGTGTGGGGGGGAACTACATAGGCTATGAATAGCAGGAGGTGATTTACGGCTAACTTGGAGGTCAGTTACCATGGTTTTCCCTCTGGGACACAGAGATTCGTGTCTCTTCCACATGAAAAAGCACACTTACTTCCTCCAAAGGCCCTTTAAAGTTCGCTTCTGTTTAGAGGATCTGCTACGAATCCAGTAACTTGTCATCTAAGTCATGTTCGTACCAAAATGAACCTCTTAGTGAAGTCTAAGAACAGAGGAAGTTATTCAAGTACAGCTTCTCATCTGAAGACCTAGCAACAGGTTTTGTGCCATCCACACACTCAGCATACGCAAGTCAAGTAGGCATAGAGTAACCGCTTCAGACCCTTTGACTCCAGAGGGAGAAATAAGCTATACGCAGAAGCAGGTGGTCCATGGTGGTTCTAAAGTCCAATCATGTACATGTTGGTAATTCCTGGATTAGGACCCAGTTCTGCTATTTCCTGGAAGTGATTTTTCATGGCTCAGACATAGCTCCATTCTGTACTCTCTCTGTGCCTTTTAATCCAAGCTGGTGGCAGTACCACGGGTGCAGTTCTCTCATCAACCGTTCCGATGAGCGTTGTTCTGGTTACTCCGGTAGGTAAATGCCACATCCACAATTGGATAGAGAGAAGCTTTTTGTTTGTTGGTTTTACGTTACACTTCTGCTAACATGTTAAGGGGAAAATGCCCTTAACCTCATTAAAACCCTTATTTTTTAACTCAGAGGATCTGTAAGACATGCCAGTCAGCTGCCTAGGCATGCTGTAGTCTCACTGAGTGGTCCTTTGAGGCACTACCTAATCCATTTTGGAGGTCTGACCGTGAATTTCACAGTCACACTTCATTGTCATCTTTATCTTATTTTTTATCAGCAGTTGATCTTTTTTTCTTTAAAGTTTATTTACTTTATTTTGAGAGAGAGAGAGAGAGAGAGAGTGCGTGCACGCAAGAGCAGGAGATGGGCAGAGAGAGAGGGAGAGAGAGAGTCCCAAGCAGGCTCCATGCTGTCTGCACAGAGCCTGGCTCGGGGCTTGAACTCAAAAACTGTGATCCCGTGACCTGAGCCGAAATCAAGAGTTGGAGGCTTAACCCGAATGAGCCACCCAGATGCCCCTGGTAGTTTGCCTGGAAGAGACTAGAAATGAGAAAACACTTTATTTTCAAGTTGATCAAGTCCTGCTTTCTTCATATTTAATGTGCTTTTTTTAAGTGTTTTTTTTTTTTTTTTTGCCTCTTCTTCTTCCCCTCTTATTGTAAGTAGAAGATGTTCAGTTTTCTCTGCCTGAAGTGTCCTTAGCTAGGTTACACAATTCACTACGTATAAATTTTCCTTTCCAGATTATCATGATTTATCAGACCTTCCACTGCAACAGAGCCAGCATGCAGTTTTCCGTCATCACCAGTCGCATTTATTCCTCACTTTCTTTGACGCCATTACTGATGACCTCCTCGAGAGCCGCGAGGCTTGTGCTCTTAGCCCTCTCCAGGCCTGTCCAGCTCCCTTGTACCTTTTGATCCCTCAGTTACCCACATCTTTAGGTTTTTGTTACAATTCCCTCCCAGGACCAGATCTATTATTAGGTATTCATTATTGCATAAACAAATCACCCCCAAATTTAATAGCTTAACACCATGCTTTAGTATTTCCCATGGGCCTCTCCACAAGACTCTTCCGGTGTGATCAGTTAGCAGTCTCAGAGACCAAGCCGGATGCTAGCATCAGAAGTCACACACGGCCACCTCTTCCTAGCTCTCCACTGACCACGGAGTCAGCACTAATTCAGTGTAGAAGGAGACTATGAATGGGTACGGACACCAGAGGCAAGGATTAATGGACTTCCTCTTGGAAACGTTAAAGGTGATGTAAGGAAAGGAAAAAAAAACCCTAAATTTTCAATGGATATATAGTAACTTGTCCTATAATATCCTCTCCTAGAACGTATCCCATGTGAAAAAGTGCAAGGCCTTCACAATTTCAAACTCCAGAATTTGGGCCAGACGGAACATTGTTGTGAGTGACTGATGAAGTCTTGTTTTGTGAACTTAATTATGTCCAGTTCATAGCACTGTGTGTGTTACACAGCTGCCTTGCTTCAGAGAAGCTCTTGTTCTCACAAACAGATCTGTTCATTTTGAAACATTGCAAAGCTAGTGTGGATATTTCGAGACTCCCAAGTAGTCAAAAACCAGAACCAAATGATCGTCTTGTTAAGAGTAGTCAATAAAGTTACAGCTGGATGTTTTCTCTCTGCTAAATTTAGACATTACACTCCATTCAATTTTCTCTTGATTAAACAGATTGAAAATCATATGTATGCATACAACTAGTCTAAATGGACCACTTGCTTAAGATCAGCAGTTTTCTGAGGAGACTAACTCAAAGCCAAAGGAAAAAAATGTGACTTAGGGAAAAAATATATATGCTGTATGTTTGACTTCGCAGTACAGCCTTCTCGGTGTTGTTTTTTAAGCCAAGAAATTTGTTTACATGGAATCCTGTTTTTACCTACTACTGTGTTGTTGGAAGATGATGTACAGATGCGTGATTAACTCTTAAAGGGAATTCAAATGATAATGATTAGCCTTTAAATAGCATAACTCATTAATAATGGAAGAAAGAAGGTTTCTCTGGTCCTGAACTGCTATTACTAGTCAAACGGGACATTTAAAAACAAATCACTTCATTGTCAATTTTTGGGAAAATTTCTACTGGAGTCTCACTTTTGTCCACTTAGTGACACGTCGTGATTGCAACCCATTCTGTATGAATTGTTTCCTTTCTACAGATATAATATTAGATTGAAATGAATATGATAGAAACTTCAGAATTTCAAGCAGACAAATTAGTACAGTTTGAATTTGCTCTGGCAGGTACATTTGGTGTGAGGAGCGATATGAAAAGTAGATGATTTTTGAGACTTTCTGGAGATACTTAATGGGATAGAGAAATATTTTTTTCCTGTGTCCTACAAATTTAAAACACATCATAAGAATTAGGCATTTGCTATTGAAAAGGCATTTAGGTAACTGGTGTTGATTTTTTAGAGTTATTTTGTAAGAAAAATTTTAATATCTGATTTTAGACTTGGTATCTGTATGTTCTATTCCTTAATAGAAACAGTAGTATTTACTCTTCTGTTGTTTTGCTGTTGATTCTCTTTTTAGTTTCGTTTCTTATCATTTATGGTTCCTATACTCTATTAGGTATATAACATGGCTATTCAGAGCAAAGTGGCTGAATCTTGTGCCTAATTTTATTTCTTTCTAATGTTTCCTTGGATTACAAATTGAGAAATCATTTGTGACGCAAATGTCTCTTTGGATTGAGTTAGACATTAATCCATAAAAGAAATCCACCATAATAAATAATGGTTTAACTTCTTGAGCTCTGAATCACAGGCCTCTAGGGAATTAAGAAAAAAGAAGTAAATACTAACGGCATAAAACGAAGTCCGTGGTACAGTTGTGAAAAGCCTAAAGTTATAACGTTTTCATCTCTGAAGAGAGTCCGGTGAGGAAGTATAGCGGCGAGCCTTCGAGAGCGGAGGGACAGAAAGATGTGACCAAGAGAGAAAGAAGATGTCACAGAGACAATATGAGGGATGGTAGCCCCTGAGAGAAACATTCACCCAGGTTCAGCCCTTCCTTCTTCCCTTGAAATAATATCTCTTTCTCCAAAGAGCCCATTCTTCTGCATTGACTATGACATCAGCAAGGATCAACCAGACAGGATGGCCGTGGCAGGGAAAACACCCGGAGGAAATTTCGTGAAGCGTGTACTACACAGAATGTAACTTTCTCACTTCTTCCCTCTTGCAGGTTTTCTGAACCAGATGAGTAACTCCAGTCACTCCGTCCTTCAGCCTTCGTTCCAAGGATGCATGCAGCTTGTCCAGGTGGATGACCAACTGGTGAATTTATACGAAGTGGCCCAGAGGAGGCCGGGGAGTTTTGCGAATGTCAGCATCGACATGTGCGCCATCATAGACAGGTACGCTCTTTCTGTCCTACCCCAAACTTGTCTACACTTTCTAAATTCACGTTTTTGTTGTTGGGCGAGAGAAACACACGTGCACACACACCCTGTAAGAGGTGAGGCGAGGGGAGCCACCCGTCATGCCGATGGCGTATTTGTGATTTTAGCGGTGCCATTTATATCGGGACGTGGATAAATATATAAATATATGGCAGAACAGTCTGTTATCACACAAACCTCCCTCAGCAGACGCGATTATTATGCAGGTAGTTTTGCAAACAACAGCTGATTTATAAAGGGGCTCAGTTTATTTTTACTTTTGCTTCCTACTCCCACAAGCAGAAATGTCCCCTTCTCTCCTTGTCTTGGTCACGACTCATCCTCAGCATATTGTCCCCTCTCAAGCCCTTTCCTGAGGGAAAGAAGCTTTAAAAAATGTTGGCAGGCAGTATGGGAATTTACTGAAGCAGAATATTTAATGTAATTGAGCCTGCTTATAAAATATACTGAAATATTGCAAAATCTAATCTGTATTCGTTTTTGCAAATCTGGGGAGGAGCTTTTTTATAAAAACTTAGTTGACTTCTCACAGAGTAGAAAGATACAGCTCTTACATGAAATATTATGACATCATTGCATACATTAACTTTAATGTACTTCTAAAAAGTGCCTTTAATTCCAGCATAAAAAATATTCCTTTGAGATGTTTTGTCCATAAAGAAACTATATCTGACTTTGTGTTGAATTTAACCTGGTGAATTTAGGTGATTTTCTACACTACTTTCAAAGTTTTTATGATAGGGCTATCCTATTCTGAAAAATAATTTTATTAATGTTGTGTTTTGGAAGATGGAAGTTTTAGAAGTCTCCGTCTGTCTCCAGCAAAGTGTAGACCATCAGTCTCTGATTTTATTTTCATTTAAGAGGAGATCCTTGGGGAAGTCACTCAAAGACACATAATGAATCTTAAAAATATGTAAAATCATCTGTAGTGAAGTAAGTTTGCTTCTATATAATCTCAATAAAATAATATCTGCGTGAATGGTAAATTACAGTTTAAATGATGGATCTAGAATGTAACATTTTAAAGCCTTAACATCTTTATAATAAGACTTGATGACATAGCACAGTTCTTATTTCTATTACATATTTGCAAATAGTCATCCTGATAGCCTAAACAATTTATATTTAAACACAACAGTGAACAATTTTAATGGAAATATATTCCCAATTTTTGAACCATCAGCGATGTAATAGCTATTATTTCTGCCTAAAGCAAGTGGTAGCAACAATCAGAAAAACTGAAAGATGACTGTTCTAAGACCAGACTTTGTGATGTTTGATATTTAGCCATAAATTTTTATTAATTGTTTTCCATACAGGAAGATTTTCCTTCTTAGCAATAGGTAGACAGAATATTGAGTTATTTTAGTGCCTTGTCCATTTTCCATGTCAGTAGCTTTAATGTTACAATAATCTCTGTCAATAATACCCAAGTTAGTCCACTCAGCTTTTGTAAACAGCCTAGATTTTATGGTTATGTTGCCATTTCGCTTCAAATAGCGTGTGTCCCGGGCACTATATTTAAGTTGTTTGCTACTAAAGAAGTATGGATGATATGTTGAGGCTTTAATGTTTTACTTCCATGGAGAGACAAGGTGCTAAATTGGCTCCAAAAGAATGAATGAGATTTTTGTAAATGAAGGGAATGGAAAATGGCACCTCTGATGAAGGTAAATACACAAGAAAAGGTGAAGAATTGGGACTTCAAATTTCAATTTTTGTCAGATACAGGAATATACAGATTTTTTTTTTTTTTTGCCAAAATGGGTCAGTCTCATTGTCCATTTTGCCAAGTGTCCTGTAGCTGATGGAGTAAGGAATAGGTCTCTCTCAACCTCCAGAAGGATAAGCCAAGAGAAAAGGGGAAGTTGTCACCTCTGACATGTGACGCAATTCCAAAGCCCAGTAGGGCATCCATTTTCTGCTTGCTCTGTTTTTTGAAGGCAGTGATTGTTTTTTTTTCTAACTGAGTTGTAACTGACATGTAACTTTCAGATGTAGAACACAGTGAATTGGTATTTATATGTATCGCAAAGCAATCACCAGAGCAACAGCTTATGTACGTGAATTACCAATATGTAAAAGAGCAGATTTCTTTACTCACCTAAAATGTTTCAGTTCAAAATATTAATCTGTGAAGTGTTATATTTTTGTATATATGATACAGAACTGTATTCACCTTATTCCAACCATTGAGGAGCTCATTGATGAGTTAACCCTCAATCTGTGTCTTTCCATATGAGAGTACCAGTGGTTTTAGCCTGTCCTCGTAGAGCGGTGACCCACCAGATACACCGTAATGATATATTCCCTGCCCATCTCTGGTTTGGTATTTTCCCCCTTACTAACTAAAATTTTGCAACAGCCCCATCGCTGCCATTTTATTTTCAAACTCTAAATTTCCCCTAAGTAAGCCTACACTGGCTCTTTCAAATTTCAGCTTGATTGATTTGAGAGCTATTTTGGCCGGCGGCGTGGGGGTGGGGGGAGGATAAATGAGAACATAGGGGAAAAAAAAATAGAAAAGCTACCACAGGCACATTTTTTATGACATGTTTGGAGATAATAGGAGCAGCTGCAATGATTCGATGAGTAAAACTTTGGGAACTAGTTTGGGGAAGATGATTGTACAGGGGTTTTGCTGTGTGTCATGCTGGGATACCCTATGATTTGAACTTCTTTTTCTTTCTTCGCGTGTGGATTTACATGAAGCTTGTTTTATTTACTTGTTTGTTTTCGGAGCACAGCAATGAATCAAGAAAAGAGCAAGCGTGCCAAGCCATAGAATCATTCATTCAGTAGTATTTTCTGAGTATATCCGTGGTGCCAGGCACTCACTGTTCTAGGCACTAAGGATGCCTCATTGAACAAAATAGAGATCCTTGGACTTGGAAAGCTCACATTCTGAGGAAAGGGGAAGAAGAACAAATGTAATAAGTAGATTTTGCAGTAAGTTTGAAGAAATAAGTGCTATTAAAAAAAAAAAAAAAGTAGGCCAACTGGAGGACCATCATTCCAAGAGAGTGAGGTGTCGGGTTGCAATTTAAATAGATTGGTCAGAGTCAGCCTCATTGAAAGATAATAATAAGTTCAAGACCTGAAAGAGGTAATAGAATTTGCCGATTCTTTTGGCAAAGAGAATAGTCAATGCAGAGAGAAGAGTCCATGCAGCGAGGCGGCCTGGCATGATCTAGGATCAGCCAGGGCCAGGGGGGCAAGTTTGGAAGGAATAGGAGTAGAGCTGCGGGTGAGGAGGCCAGAGCAATTCTAGAGGTCAAGTCCTGCAGAATCACAGGCTTTTTTTTTTCTTAACAATTTGGCTTTGATTTTGAGGGAATTAAGGAACCATCGCAGGTTTCTGAGTAGAGCAATGGCAGGATCCAGCTTACAGTTTAAAAGAATAACTCTCACTGTGGGAAGAGGAAAGGTAGAAGCAGGGAGCTTCTTGTAATCCAGGTGAGAGATGCCGGTGGCCTAAGATCAGGGTGCTGGCATGAGAGGTCGTGAGATGTGGTCAGTTCTGAAAATATTTAAGAGTGGAGTCCATCGTGTGTCTTGATGGACTAAGTAGAAGAGTTAGAGGATTAACCCAAACTATTTAGTAAAAGCAACTGGAAGGAAGGAGTTGCCATATCCCAGTGGGAAGACCAGTGGTCGAGAAGGTTGGTCAAGGGTTAAGAAAAAATATCAGGAGCTAGTGTTGGGCATGAGTTGAAGGGTCTATTGGACACAAGTGGAGTTGTCAAAAAGGCAGCTGGAGATATAGATATAGATATAGATATAGATATAGATATAGATATAGATATAGATGTAGATTTATATATATGAAACAAGCATGTACCTGCAGATTACACAATGAAATGTTGTGTCTGAAAACATCTCCATGTTTGCCTGTTGAGGGCCTCCCGTGTCTTGAGCTGTATTTCATAGACAGTATAGACCTGGAAGGCGAGAAGAAGAATAGTGGGCAGGAAGCCTCTTCCAATATCAGAAGCTTGTAGCTTTACCCTTTGAAGGGTATTCTATGGCTAGAATATTCTCTGAAAATGATAAAATACCTAGCACATAGCTTCTTTGTTTTTCCCTGCATGATTGTCGCCTTTTATCTGCTCCTACTGCCCTGGTATTGTTGGATCCTTGTGACAAACGTCTTCAGGTCCCGACTCAACTCCTGTCCGCAACCCGTGTCTCTCTAACCTCTTTGTAGGTGCAAATATCTGAGAGCCAAAAGCCTGCAAAACACGCCTGTAACTGTCTAGAGTTGGCTTTATTCACTTCCTCCCACAGGATAGCACGAAGGTGGGGTTGGGCCGGAAGCAGTTAGGGAAGGGAATCGGGAATGAGTCCTGGCAGCTATGGGTCAGAATTTATCAACTAAGAGAGTTACCGTCACAGACCGTGGACCTTGTGAATTCATGTGGAGCTACCGCTTGACTCGCTTGTCTCTGACTCTTCCCTGGGACATCTGGGATGAAGAAGGTGGGGTTAAAATATTTTGAGCTTAAGTAGGTGGTATTCGTGACTGGTCTGGCAAAATACACCTGTAAGAGAAGAAATTCCTGTTTATTTAAGCTGCTGTGAGTCAAGTTTTGTTTTTCTTGAAGCCAAAAGTGTCCATCCTTCCCCCATCCTCCACTTCTAAAAGCAACCAGTATAGTCTTTTTACCAGAACACAGAGGAACCAACTCCCAAGTATGGAAATGGCTTTGAGAGAAAAGATGGTAACATTTATCTTAGGGTATATTGAGTTGCCTGCCAGTGATGTCCCCAAGAGACTGAACTTGGGGGACTAAATGGCCGTTTAGAGGCCAAAGCAAATACATATTCTTAGAATCGGCAGCTGGTAGGAAAAAAATAGTAAAAGCAGTTCATTAGAATTCAACTCTTATTTACCTTAGCTGTAAATATAAGAAGAAGCAAAATCAGTAAACATCCCAATAGCACAGAGAGTG